GTGGCTTAATTTTTTAAAAAAATTTAAGCTTCATTGCCTATTTCCTCAAGACATTCTCTCATATTTAGTATTTTTTTGATGTTATAATTTGTCATCTTATTAATATTCATATAGACACATTTGTATATATATTTCCTTTTATTTATATATGTGTTTACTTCTCCTTCTTGAGAGTTAGTAATACAATATGCACTTTTCTCCAAGTTGTTTTTTCACTTAATATAATTAAAGAGAACTCTACAGTAATGTAGTAATAGGTAAAAATACCCATCATTCATTTTTTCATTTCAGTTATTATCCACTTGAGTATGTATCAACATTTATTCAGCCAGACCACTAGTAAAGTATATTTAGGTAATTACTTATATTTTATTATTAAAATGCAAAAAATTCCTTGAAGTGGGTTTCTGTGTTAAAACTAAATGCTAATATGATTTTTATTATCATAAAATACACATAACATACAATTTACCATCTTAACCATTTCTAAGTATACAGTTTAGTGATACTAAATTCATTCATAAGGTTGTGCCTAGAACCCTTTCCATTTTATAAAACTGCAATTCTATACACATCAAACAATAATTCCCTATTCTTCTCTTCCCTGCAATGCCTAGAATACTCGCTTCTACGTACTATCTCTGTAATTGTGACTAAGTACTTTATGTAAGTAAAATCATGCAGTATTTGTCTTTTTTATGACTAGCTTATTTCATTTTGTCCTCATGGTATAACGTATGTCAGCCTTTCACTACCAACTTATTTGTGTCTTGGAATCTAAAGTGAGTGTCTTGTAGATAGCATATAGTTGGATTATTTTTTTAATCCATTTGTTTATCTTTGAGTGAAGAATTTAATTAATTTACATTTAAAGTCATTACTGATAAGGAGGGACTTCTGTCATCTAGCTATTTGTTTTCCACATAGCTTACAGCTTTCTCATCCCTCATTTCCTTCAGTATTATCTTCTTTTGTGTTTCATTGATTTTTTTTTTTTTTTTGGAGAGCTTAAATTCCTTTCTTATTTCCTTTTGTGTATATGCTGTAACTGTTTTCTTTGTTTGCATCATAGGAATTATATTTGTATCCTAAAGTCATAGCACTCTAACTTGAATTTACGTTAGTTTAACTTTAATAGCGTACAAAACTCTGCTCCTTTCTAGCTCAGTTCTTACCCTTTTAGGTTTTTATGTGGCATATTCACGTTTCTCCATCATGTGTCTGAAAACATAAACTAATAATTCTTTTAAATTTCTTAGTCTCTTATGCTATGTAGAAACCACAGAGTGAAATTACAGATGGTTGTTACTATAATACTAGCTTTTATAATTGCCCATATATTTACCTTTTGTGAGATCTTTTACTCCCCCTCTGCTTCAGATTATCATCTACTGTCCTCACCTTGTAACCCACAGGCTCCCTTAACATTTCTTGCAGGGCTGGTCTAGTGGTAATGAATTCCCTCATCATTCCTGGAATATTTTCATTTCCCCGCCACTTCAACATGACAGCTTTGCCATATACAGGATTTTTTTTTTGACATTTTGCTTTCCTTTAGCACTTTTATTATATAGGGCCACTCTCTTCTGGCCTCCAAGGTTTCTCATAGGAACTAGGCTGATAATCTCATTGAGCACCCTTTGTATGCGATGATAAGTCCCTTCTCTCTAGCTACTTTCCAGATTCTCTCCTTGTCTTTGTCTTTGGGTTAGATTATGAAGTTTCTTGGTATGTCTTTAAATTCATGTTACATGAATTTTGTTGAGCATTTTGGATCTATATCTGTATCTCTCATCAAACGTTGGCAATTTTCAGACTTTCTTTTTTTTTCCCCCACACATTCTCTCTGCACCTTTCTCTTTCTTTTCTCCTTTGAAGACTCCCACAATGTATATGTTGGTCTTAATAGTATCCTACAGGTTAATTAGGTACTGTTCTCTTTTGTTTAATCTTTTCTTGTTGTTGTTACTCTGACTCAGTAATTTCCATGGCCCTATCTTTAGTTCATTGATTCCTTCTTCTGCCTTCTCAATCTGTCTTTGAACCTTTCTAGTAAACCTTTCATTCCAGTATTGTCTTTTTCAACTCCAAAATTTCTTATAGTTTCTTTTTAGGTTTTCTTTCTCTTTAGTGGTATTTTCATTTTGATCATGCATCAGTTTTTTTTATTTCCTCTATATCTATTTTTAGTTCCTTGCGGATCTTTAATACAGTTGTTTAACATCTTTGTCTAGTGGGACATGCATTAATCAGGTGTTTTTCAGGGGCTATTTTTGTTGATTCAGTCTTTCTTTTTTTTTTTTTTTTCCTTTGAATGGGCCATACCTTCCTGTTTTTACGTACACTTGGTGTTCTTGTTGAAAATCAGACATTTGAATCTAATAATGTGGTAACTCTGGAAATCAGAATTTTTCACTTTCTCAGGATTTGCTGGGTTTTGTTTCTACTTTTGTTGATTAATTTATTTTTTATAGTTGTAGTCTGTCTCTGTGCTGAGAACTAGTCTAAAGTGAAAATACTTAAGATTTTCTCAAGTAATTTCTGAGCCTATGCCTTCCCCTGGGTATGCATGGTGACTTTCTAATTTCCCCTCATGTATAGTCACATTTGGATGTCCTTCTCTTTAATGCCTATCTTCTGAGGGGGGAAAAAGAGAGAGAGCAAAAAAAAAAAAGATAATGAAGGGGGTAAAGAGGATGCTGGCTCTCAAATCTCCTGGAAGTTAATTCAGCCTAGTGGAGGGGCTTATAACAATGGGAACAATGGCTGTGAGTGTGTGTGTGTGTGTGTGTGTGTGTGTGTGTGTGACATGATAGTCACCTACACCTCTGTGATCAGAAACAGGAATTGCCAGGGAGATCACAGATCTCTGCTATTTGAAGGACATGGTCCTTTTTGTCCAACCTTGCTCCCAGAGGTAGTGTATAAGCTTCTCCAGGAACATGGATCCAGCTCCCTGCCAAGTGGGTAGTAGCTACTGTGCTAAGAGCTGTAATTGTTAGAAATTAATCATATTTTACTGTCCAGACCTTACTCTGGAATTTGGAAGACTTTAATGGACTCCGGAGTTCTAAAACATTTTCATCAGACAGATTTTGCCAGTTGTCTACATGAAGAGATAGATTCCTAATGCTTCCTATTTTGCTATACTCCCAGAATTCCCCAATACATCATTTTCATGCATATGCCAAGTTTTCCATCATAGGTTTTATAACATTCTTTTAATAATACCAGAAATGTCTGGAGGTGCATGTTTTTTCACAGGCTCACCAATAAGAGTATGGTGTCCACTTCAGACCATTGCTAATCTAACAAACAGGAAACAGAATCTCAGTTTAATCTCAAATTTAATTTGCATTAGTCTTCTTGTGTATAAAGGTGAGCATCTTTGTACTTGCTCAAGATTTGTTTCTTTCTCTTTCTATGAAATCTTTTCATTCTCTAGCCCAATCTTTTTAATGTATTGCTGATCTTTTTCTTTCCTAATTTGTAAATCTACATATGTTAGGGATATGAACATTTTGTGTCTGTTGTTAATTGCAGATATTATCCCTAGTTTGTCACTTGTGGTTTTACTTTGTTTATTGTGTCTTGCCAAGCTATTTTGTAATGTCATCAAATTTATCTCTCTATTCCCTTATTGCTTCTTGATTTTGAGCCATAGTTAGGAGAGATATGCCCACTCTCACATTATAGTAGAATTCATCCGTGTTTTCATCTATTACTAGAATTTGCATTGTTTCATTGTTTATTATATATGAATATACTCTCCATTTGGAGTTTACTCTAGTATAAAAAATGGATGCAATTCGATCATTTTCTGTATGGCTGTTCTATTTGATAAATGCTAGTATTCAAAAATCCATTTCCCCTACTGTTTTGAGATGATTACTTTATCATATGCTAAACTGTCATGTGCAATTTTGACTATTTCTGTATTTTTCAAGTCTATTTTACTGGTAAACTTTTTTTTTTTTTTATTTTCCCTCACAAAGTGCCCCAGGAGAGTTTCTCTTCTTGTCTCAGTGTTGAAGCAAAGAAAGAATAGAAATTAATCCATTTTTGAATATGTCTGGCTCTGACAACCTGGATTTGAATGCAAGCTCTGTCTTATATTGTCTCTTTGGTCTTGGATAAATTATTTAATATCTCAAAGTTACCAAGTCCTTCTCTGTAAAATGGGAATGATTTATAGACTTAGTGATGATTATTTGCATAAAGCATTTAGTACATAGTAGCCTTTAATAATTGGAAACCATAGTTATTTCATTCTTATGGCTATTGTGCCAAATGCATACATATACTCTATAGTTACACAATTTGATTTCTACTTATTCTTCACATTGAGAAAAAGGATGTCACATCATACAAAGGAAAATAATGCAATTGAAAGAAACTTCTGCAGGAAGAAATATATTTCAACTCACTAAAATGCCTGTACTTAAGAAATACCCTCTCTAGGCATTAAGAATGTCATCAATATATTTTTATTTAATATGATTAATGTAATTAGCTAGATTCTTGCCTTAAGAAAAGTATTTTCCCAGCTGGAAAAGAATATGTTCATTTTAATTTTCAAGCAGCTTGATATTTGGTACAAATTACTAGTCTTTGTTTACTACAAGATGCAGTGAAAGACCAGGCAGGCTATAATTAAGATTTATGCACCATTAAAACACAATTTTATACTTCAAAATTTGCTCTCCCTACACTTAATATCTCTTTTCATGTGATGAAGTTTCAAATTAATTAAAGAGCTCTGCTAATAAAAGATATTTGGAAAATCACCCCAATAATAAATACTTTCCATCTTCTGACTCATAAGTTAATTAATTGTATACCACATTTGTGTCTCCTTTCCCTAGACCACAGGATTTTGAAAGTTAATTTACTAATGAAATTGTGATTCTGTTCCTCAGTTAATGAAGGGAATTAGATATAGCACACACAGATACTATGTATTGTTCTCAATTATGTGCCAAAATCTCAATGTCTTTCAGGGACTCCTGAGGATTACCCACGATTTTTCCATATGCATCCTAGGACTGCAGAACTTAGCCTCTTGGAACCAGTAAACAGAGACTTCCACCAGAAATTTGATTTGGTTATTAAGGTAAATTAAACTAATTTCTTCTCTCTTTGTATTTATAAACTTCTAATCAAAGAAACCTGTAGTGGCTAGTGTAGGCACTTTTATGTTACAGAAGTTAAAATAAATCTGACCACAATACTTAAAAAAGTGAAGTTCAGCTATTTTAATACATTGTGCTACCTTTCTTTAAGGTAACTGTTTATATTATGATGTGATTCAAATACTGAGTATTTTTGTAGCAAATGCCTTGTCCAAATATATATATGTAATGCTACATAATATAACTTTGTTACATTTTCTAACATTTTTTTCTTGCTAAAAGGAATCAATTCTTGACCACAAAACCTGCTCATGAATATATTTTAAATGGGCATGAATTTATATATTTTTATTTTAATATCACATTAGGTTTTAAAATATTGTTTTTCTTTCTAACTTAAAAGAAAAGATCTTCCCTGTCCAGAAATTCTTTCAAAAGATGTCTCATTAATTTCTTTATTTTGAAAAATGATCCTAGGCTAGAAAAATTATCAAAGCTAGGGGAATCCATCTGGCATTATAATTACAGTTAAATAATATCTACTGTATTGTAATAAAATTGTTTAATAGGTACTGTGAAAACCAGGACGATCTGTCAAGTAATTCTGATAGACTTTGCTGGCAGGTAAGATTGGACCTGGACAATGAAGGAATAATGGCAATTTATGGAGTAGCAACAAGGGTGAGAGAAGTACTTTAATAGAACAGACCAAGCAAGGACGTGGAGTAAGTCTGGTGTGTAATATAAGACCTTCTCATAAACACTCAGAACAATAGCTATAGAAATGCACACTGAGGGTATTTTTTTTATAATTTAAAACTGTTAAAGGTAGAGGAAATAAGATAAGGAAGCTTACCGAGCATGTCCAAAGTTACTTAAGCACATTTTTCATTGAATTAGAGCCGTAATCTTGGTGGTAAGTTCATTGATGCAAATGTGGAACATAAAGCTCAGCCAGCATAAGGAGCTGGCTCTGAGTTACCTCCCCGAAAAGCAGCAGCTCTGAGATTCACACTTAGGTTGATCTAAGCGAGGGCCATAGTCTTATCCCTTCACCAAGATGCAGTTACTTCAAAATGGTGGGTTTAATTCTCTGTTGGTACAACTGCAAACAAAAACACCCAAACACACATTTGATTTTAGTTCAAATTAGGACATCTTTTGTGGGCACTGATCATGTTATACGTTACCAGATCCAAAGTTATGGGTTGTCCCTCGTTCTTGAAGAACCTGTGATCTCTAAGGGTAAAGAGTTGTACATGCCGATAAATCAAATAGGTCCCATCGACACGTAACAGGAAGGCATCTAAAAAGTGCTGGAAAAGTACAGAATCGGGACATATAAATTAATCTGGGGATTCCAGGAAGATGTTCCGGAGACTACCCTGAGCTACCTGTCGCTGCATCAGAAGATTTTTGGCCAATGAATAGAAGTGGGAAGTGTGTTTGAAAATCAGGAAAAGCCAAAGTAAAAACTAGAGGCGTGTTGCAGCAGGCTACAAAGAGTTAACGGAAATGAGGGATAGGGGCAGACCAGGAAGAGCCTCCTGTGAAATTGCTTTTTCCTTCGATTTTATTCAGTAGGGTTTTGGGAGTCATTCAACAAAGACAGACTCCTTTTACCATTTATATAAAATGGCCATGCATGAGATTTATCTTCTTGTACTGACTATTTCAATTATCAGGGAACTATATAAAACTAGAAAATATGTACCCATGGTCTACCCCCCGTCTCCGTGTAGGCCTGCGGTGCTGCGCTCTGTAGGAGCTAAGAAAGCTGACAAGGCACTGTTACCAAACTGCCTCATTTCAGTCCTGAAATCAATTATTTTCCTTTACTATCAAACTTAGTTGTCCTGGTGTACCCGGGTACAATGAAAAGCAGCCCATCAATTATAGAAACAAAAATCAATTAGAACAGGCCATAGATAATTTGTTTATGTTTTAATAACACTTTATATTATTAATGGAAGTTTTTACAGACATTATTAGATTCAAATTACTGTGTTTTGTGTGCAGTCAAGGGGATAATAAGCAAAGGTATCAATCTATACGAATAATAACGTGCCACCTGCTTGAATAAGAGCTGAATATTGTGGCTTTGTAGAGGGATCCACTGAAGTGTAACAGTCTGGCGGGTCTCTGGAGTGAGACTTTCAACTTCTTACCCTTTTCTTATTTCAACAATGTTTCATTTTTCATTGGACATAGAAGTTTTTTTTTTTTTAAGATTTTATTTATTTATTTGACAGAGATCACAAGTAGACGTAGAGGCAGGCAGAGAGAGAGAGGGAAGCAGGCTCCCTGCTGAGCAGAGAGCCTGATGCTGGACTCGATCCTAGGACCCTGAGATCATGACCTGAGCCGAAGGTAGCAGCTTAACCCACTGAGCCACCCAGGTGCCCGGACATAGAAGTTTTTATTGAATTTGATTCCCATTTCTGTTTCGGGAGCTAAGGAAAAACAAAATGAAGTATTTCCTCCTAGACTGAAAATTCTGCTTTAGAAAGCTATATGCACATTTAACAGCTGGGAAGCATCATGGTTAAGAAATTTTTCATCTTTATTCCATCCATTTCAGCCAGGGATTTATTCAGGATACTGACAAAAATGTAAAGGTGAAATTAGGGAAACAAAAGGGAGTAGCTCACCAACTTTTGAATATTAAAGGATTGAAAGGAATCCAATGAAAAGAGGAAAGGATGTTCCATTTCAAACACTATCCCAAATGTTAAAAGATTGTAATCTCTTAAACATTTTTAACTGAAATACACATATTGAATAAGAATCATACATTTGGTTTGCCCAGGAAGGTTCACATTCATGCCTGTTGTCTTTGTATAGTTATTCATAATATCTCTTTCACTCTGAAAACTGGCCCGGTTTGGATGAAAAGTTATGTGATCACCATAGTTACAAAGCAAAAAGCAACTAGGAGATATATGAAAGCATATTTTATTATCTGGGTGATAATGAATCAGTTCATGCATGAATTATCTATTACAAAGCCCAGAAAATTCACTTTTATGATTTTAAGTGCAGTATTTAAAAAAAAATTATTAATTGATATATTTATGCTCTTGACATCTAATACAAATATCAAGTGGATAAATTATTAATAATTCACTGTCTCACAGTTGCTCAGACATAATTGTGTTTTTTTATGGAAATCTCGTGGATTCACAGCTAAAGTGAGGCTCACGGACATGATCGCACCACAGTCTCTCTGATTTTCTTTTTTTAACATTTTATATATTTATTTGACACAGAGAGAGAGCAGAGGGAGTAGCAGGCAGAAGGAGCAGGAGAAGCAGGCTCCCTGCTGAGCAGGGAACCTGATGTGGGACTCCATCCTTATGACCTGAGCCGAAGGCAGATGCTTAACAGACTGAGCCACCCAGGCACCTGGTCTCTCTGATTTTTAGGTTGTTACTGCCAGCCTACGGTAGCTGTTTTGCAGGCTGAGCTACAATCCCTTGTCTTTCCACACCGAGGGCATGTTAACCTGAGCCTTCATCAGCCACCCTGAACACTCTCTGTCCAGCTAACCTGACACAGTCGCTGTCCTCTCAGTCTGCCATCTTCTCTCCGGCCCCCATGCATCTGTGGATGCTGCCCCACCTCGTGAATATCCCTTCTTTTCCTCCTGGGAAGTCTGGGTCACACTGTCACATCAGCGATCGCATCAGTGTCTCACCGATGCATCAGAGGCTAAGACACTCGGTCTGGAAAGGCCTTACCACAGCCTAGAAGCTTCTCCCCACATCCCGCTTGTCCCCATGATGGCTCTAACCATCCTACATTGAATTTTCCTGTGTATTTTCTCTTGGCCTTTACAGTAGGGCAGGTGGTCATATATTTCTTTATGCTGTGGCCCAAGTGTATGTCAAGTGCATAGAAGATGCTCAAGAAATATTTGTCATAAGGTATTCTCCCTGGCTCAAACTTCTAGAGCAGCTGATTTTCATACCTACATCTTCACTGTATTTAAATACCTACCTTTGAAAGTGTGAGCATTTGATATGACTTCATCTTGTCTGGCTGTCTAGAATAAAGATGCAATAAACTTCTCAAATAAATTCAGCTCCTGGAAAAAAAAAAAAAAGGCCAAATCTATGTGAAAGCAGAGTTTAAAGCTGTTTATGAAAACTTAACAAAAAACACTCCTTCTGGGGGGAAAAAAAAAATATATACATATATATATATACACACACACACACACACACACATTTAAATATATACATATGTATATATATATGTGTGTATATATACACATATGTATATATATATGTGTGTATATATACACACATATATATATTTTGACACAGACAAGAGCCACAGAATTGAAACTGGAGAACTTGAATATCAGTGCTGATGGGATAGTGATCCTGGCAAGGTACTTTTCTCTGGACATTTGACAAGACAAGAAAGTCTCGAGGCCCGAGAGGACAGCTAGCATACTCACAGATTTGTGATGCCACAGCCCAGAAAGTGCTTGGCCTTTGTGTGAACAATAACATCAGTGATACTTCACAGGGACTCAGTAGAACCCTCAGAGACACTGTTTTTGAGGCTTATGACGTTTGTAGTTTTCAGTTTGCTAAGTCTTTGGAGTGCGTAACACTTCACTTGCTGTGGGAGAGAAAGAAAGGCATTGAAGTTCTGCATTGAGGAAATCATTAGTATGGAAAGGGTGCTTTTAGGTTATTTCCCACCTGCCTTCGGCTCAGGTCATGACCCCAGGGTTCTGGGATCGATCCCCCCATTAGGCTCCCTGCTCAGCGGGGACCCTGATTCTCCCTTTCCTTTTGACTGTCACTCCCATGCTTGTGCTCACTCTCCCTCTCTCCCAATCTCTGTCAAATAAATAAAATCTAAAAAAAAAAAAAAAAAAAAAAAAGAATGTAGCAAACTCTATACCTTTTAAAACCTGAAATCTTCTACTTTTGCTTTTCTCTTTGCATCAACACCATGCAATCAG